TTTACGCAATCTGGTAATCTCCTTCGGACATCTGTAACTAGGAATTACACCTCTTGTTCTACCTCGAGTCCTCCTGAACCTCTGAACCCTGACCCTGAACCCCTGAAGGACGTACCTCGTACAACTCAGTGAGGTTGTACGCCTGTTCCTCGACCTCGTCTCCGAACTCCTGCCTGTCCTGCCCTTAGTGTGCCTTGGGCTACACGACCCTCAGACCCTGTCTGTTACACAAGATTGCGTCTACCAGGACCCAACCCACACCAAGCCATGGCCACGTCGCACCTCCCTAATGACATCAATGGTCCCCTTCACACCCTCGCGAACCTGGGGAATGACCACACTCAAAGCCTAGACCATGACCAGCTCCAAGCCCAGTTCAACCTCGCCAGAGATCTGGCCCGCCGAATCCTGAATGCACCCGCTGCTCCTCCTCCTCCAGCAACCCCTCCAGAACAAACCCCGCACTACCAACACTTGCAACAACAATGCAACGCCCTCATCCAGGAACGCGACGATGCCCGCACCGAAGGCCAAGGCCTTGACGCGCGTCTCGTTATCGTTAAAGCTAGCCTTACACAGGCTAACGCTACCATTACGTCCTTGATCACCGCCCTTGCCCTCATGCCTGCCCCTGGTGCCGCCGCCCCTGCTGGTGGCAACAAACAAGTTTTGATTCCTGACCCCGAGCAATTCAATGGTGCTACCGAGAAGCTTCGCCCTTCCACCACCCAACTACGGATGAAACTCCAGGGTGACGCCCACCGGTTCACCAGTGAACAACTACGGCTCGGCTACGCCCTTGGCTTACTCCGGGGACATACATACCTCCAGATCCAACACCGAGTGTTGCCCGACCGCATTGATTTTGAAAATGTGGATGTCCTGTTTGCTGAGTTGGAACAAGCCTTTGGTGATCCTAACAGGGTCCAGACTGCAGAACGGGCTCTGAGGAGCCTCCAACAAAAGAACCGTCCCTTCGTGGAGTACCTAGCTGACTTCCAACGCCTCGCTGTCGACACCCTCTGGAATGATGCCGCCAAGCGCACCTCACTCTACCAGGGCCTCAGCACCGAGCTGAAAGATGCTCTGGTACATGTCTTCCCAGTTCCTGAACCCTTCAACGACTACCTCTCCCTCCTCAAGCAGCTAGACAACAATGTCCGCGCTCGGGCTGCCGAAAAGAAAGGCTCCTCCTCCACCTCCTGGAGAACCTCCACCCCTGCTATGCCTCACACTCCTGCTCCTGATCCACCCCCAGCCTCCACAGCCACTGGCACAGCGTCCGGCCCCATGGACCTCTCCGCAGGTTGTCGAAAGCTTACCATTGCCGAAAGGCAAGACCGCATCAACTGAGGCCTCTGCCTCTACTGCCGAG